CTGTTGCCCAAGGCTGGAGTGCAGTGGCATGATCTCAGCTCACTGCAGCCTCCGCCACCTGGGTTCAAGTGATTCTCCTGTGGATTACAGGCATGCACCACCACGCCTGGCTAATGTATGTGTTTTTAATAGAGACGGTTTCACCAAGTTGCCCAGGTTGGTCTCAAACTCCTGACCTCAAGTGATCCACCTGCCTCAGCATCTCAGAGTGTTAGGATTACAGGCGTGAGCCACCGTGCCTAGCAACTTAATTATACACTTTAAAGGGGTATGTCTTGTGTTATGTAAATTATATTTCAACAAAACTATATTTTTTAAAAAGTGAGGACATTCTAAATGTACTGTTATGAAAAGATCGTCACTATATTGTTAACTAAGAAAGTGCAGTAATTAGAGTAATTATATATATCTTTCTTTTATGTGCAGAAAATATGAATATACATGCACATTTGTTAGTTATTTGTATTAAAAACTCTGAAAGGATACCCAATAAACTAATAAAAATGATTACCTGTGGGAGTGGGAATAGGGCATATGGAATGAGATGGAAATTAAATTCCTTTTTTTAAATTTTTTTTTTTTTTTTTTTTTTTTTTTTTTTTTTTGAGACAGAGCCCCACTCCATCCCCCAGGCTGGAGTGTAGTAGCATGATCTTGGCTCACTGCAACCTCTACCTCTCAGGTTCAAGTGATTCTCATGCCTCAGCCACATGAGTAGCTGGCACCTGCCACCACGCCTGGCTAATCTTTTTTTTTTGAGAAGAAGTTTCGCTCTTGTTGCCCAGTCTGGAGTGCAGTGGTGCAATCTCAGCCCACCACAGCCTCCACCTTCCGAGTTCAAGTGATTCTCCTGCCTCAGCCTCCTGAGTAGCTGGTATTACAGACATGTGCCACCAGGCCTGGGTAACTTTGTATTTTTAGTAAAGACAGGGTTTCTCCATGTTGGTCAGTCTGGTCTCGAACTCTCAGCTAAAGGTGATCCACCTGTCTCGGTGTCCCAAAGTGGTGAGATTATAGGCATGAGCCACCATGCCTGGCCTAATTTTTTGTATTTTTAGTAGAGATAGGGTTTCTCCATGTCGGCCAGGCTGGTCTTGAACTCCTGACCTCAGGTGATCTGCCCGCCTTGGCCTCCCAAAGTGCTGGGATTATAGGCATGAGCCACCATGCTCAGCCTGGTTTTTTTTGTTTTTTTTTTTTTGAGACAGAGTCGTGATCTGTCATCCAGGCTGAAGTGCAGTGGTGCAATCCTGGCTCATTGCAGCCTCGAACTCCTGTGCTTAAGTGATCCTCCTGTCTCAGCCTCCCTCCCAAGTAGCTGAGACTACAGGTGTGTGCCCCCACACCTGGCTAGGTTTTTTGCCATATTAATCTTTTTTTGTGCTTTGAACTATGTGAATATATTGCTTAATTTAAAAATGGAAAAGAAATACAAAACTATAGTAATAAAAGGGCAGCTCCAACTATAGCTGATTGTTCATATTTTAAAAGTCGGGTCTTAGTAGGTTATCAGGTCTTCTGATTTTTTTTTTTTCACAAGGAGCCGGAAGTCTGTATTTTTACATAAAATATCTTTCAGTGTTGACAATTGTTATTTTTGAGACGGAGTCTCGCTCTTGTTGCCCACGCTGGAGTACAGTGGCACGATCTCTGCTCACTGCAACCACCGCCTCCCAGACTCAAGTGATTCTCCTGCCTCAGCCTCCTGAGTAACTGGGATTACAGGCACCCACCACCACGCCAAGCTAATTTTTGTATTTTTAGTAGAGATGGGGTTTCACCATGTTGGCCAGGCTGGTCTCAAACTCCTGACCTCAGGTGATCTGCCCTCCTTGGCCTCCCAAAGTACTGGGTGTGAGCCACCATACCTGGCCTTTTTTTTTTTTTTTTTGAGACAGTCTTGCTCTGTTGCCTGGGCTGGAGTATAGTGGCATGATCACAGCTCCCTGCAGTCTTGACCTCCTGGGTTCAAGTGACCACCTTCGCCTCCTGAGTATCCGGGACCACAGTTGTGCACCACCATGCCCTGCTGATTTTTAAAATTTTTTGTCGAGATGGGGTCTTCCTATGTTGCTCAGGCTGATCTTGAACTCTGGGCTCAAGCAATCCTCCTGCCTTGGCCTCTCGAAGTGCTGGGATTACAGGAATGAGCCACTGCACCTGACCAAGCTTTTTCTATTTTTAATTATTTTCTTTTACTTTTAAAACTTCATTGTTAAAAACGAAGACACAAACACACACATTAGCCTAGGCCTACACAGGGTCAAGGTCATCAGTATCACCGTCTTCCACCTCCACACCCTCGGGGGCAATAACAGGAATGGAGCCGTGGTCTCCTAAGATAACAATGCCTTCTTCTGGAATACCTCCCGAAGACCTGCCTCAGGTTTTACAGTGACCTTTTTTAAAAAATAATGATAAGTATAGTTAATAGATGAGCCAGTAACATAGTTGTTTATAATTCTTATCAAGTATTACATACTGTGTGTAATTTTATGTGTCGGACTTTTATATGACTGGCAGCACAGTAGGTTTGTTTACACCAGCATCAACACAAACCAGTGAGTCAGGCATTGCCTTATGGTGTTGTGACAGCTGCGATGTCACTAGGAGAGTTTCCAGCTTCATTGTAGTCTGTATGGGATCACCATCAAAAATGATCCATCATTGACTGAAACGTCGTTATGTGGTACATGACTGCGGTGTGAGGTCTAGTGGCTGTTGGTAGTTGATTATATTAGACCAGCCCATTTTGAGGATGGTTGCTCCCTTTCCAGATTTTCGTGATCTTCTTGCCCTGTCATTTGGGGGGTGCCAAAGGCCTTGGTGTTTGCTCCCTTCTCCCATCCATCTCTCTCAATGTTCTCTCCTTTGAGGAATGGAGCCCATCACAAAGCCTCAGCTATACCCTGACTCTTAAACCTGCTTTCCATTCCAGCATCTCATCAGAGCTGTGGGCCTGGCCCCCTTCCATAGGAGTATCTATAGTTCCAGAAGACTTCCACTCAGATGAGTCTTTCCAAGCAGTAACTACTTTATATCTACCCAGCTTCCCCTTTCTGCATCCCTGTTTCTTTGAGGGGTGCCATCATTTTTCCACTCTCCCAGGGTCATCTTTGAGTCTTTCTTCTCCTGCAGCATAGCTCCCCTAAATGTTGAATTCAGCATAATACAGGGAATGAGCATGCCTGCAGGTTCTTCTGTCTTTTTCTACCAACATCTCTCTTATTCAAGTGTGGATTGCCTCTTGCTTCATTTACTGCAAGAGCCTGTTCATTCTCCTGCATCCTGCTACTATAAATTAGTCTTCTGAGGGCATCTATCACACTGCATTATTCCTTGCCACACAGTCTTTCAGCGACTTCCCATTTTCTGCAGGATAAAATGTTGATTCCTTGGCCTGGCTGACACTCATGACTCCTCATGTGCTCACGAAGCTCTGCCCACCCTGCCTTCACTCCCATGCTCCTGCCAGCCCGGTGCCACCACTGACCTCAGGACAGGCCCTGCTCATTTGTGCTGTAAGCTCATGGCTTGCCTCCTCTTACCCCTGAATGCCTCTCTTCCTCCCTGTCACCCACCACATTTCTCCTGCCTTCTCTCGATATTCAGCTCCAGTTCCACTGTAGATCTTTCTCAGCCTTCAGCCTACATCCATCTCCCCCTTTCCTGAATTCTGAGGATACCTAGGGTCAGCATCCAGCCACGCCCTGGTCTGTAACTGTTGCTCGTGTGTCTGTGTCCTCCCAGTGGGGAAAGGGGCCTTTCTCAGTCCCCAGTACCATGGGGCGAACACAGTTGGTGCTCACTACAAACAGGACTTCCAGCCCAGAAGGCACAGGATCATACTTGTTTAGCAGATGCTTCCTCAGTATAACCCCTTTCCTTCCTGCTCTAGGTGAAGGCTTTAGAAAGCAGGGCAGTTCTGAAAAGGCTCTGGGGGTTGGGATGCAAAAGAAGTTGGCCTATGAGGCTTGCCTAAAGGATTTTTTTTTTAACCCATTTTGAGTTAGGCCTAAAGGATTTTATGTCAGCTAGATGCTCATGCCTGTAATTCTAGCACTTTGGGAGGCTGAGGTCTGTGGATCACCTGAGGTTAGCAGTTTGAGACCAGTCTGGCCAACATGGTGAAACCCCGTCCCTACTAAAAATACAAATATTAGTTGGGCATGGTGGTGGGTGCCTGTAGTCTCAGCTACTCAGGAGGCTGAGGCAGGAGAATTGCTTGAGCCTAGGAGGCAGAGGTTGCAGTGAGCTGAGATCATGCCATTGCACTCTGGCCTGGGTAGCAGAGCGAGACTCCATCTCAAAAAAAAAAAAGAAAAAAAAGGATTTTACGTCCCTGCCTGTCGGACACCCTCTTTCTCAGTCTCCAGGGTCACCTGTGACAGTTTCTTGGACTCTTGTCTTCCCTCTAGACTCCCCCACGTTGGGCCCTGGGATGCACAGTGCAAGTCCCCTCTTCTGCGCTGATCCTCTGCTTCTCGCCTCTCTGGGGTTAATGTACCACGGGTTTTGCCTTTCATCCCATTTCCCATCTCCTTCTGTCAGCTAATGATTATTCAGGGAGGGTCACCTCACCCTGCTGTCCCTATCCCAAATCTGTCAAAGTTCTGTTTAGGGCAAAGGTCATGAGAATTATGTCATGGCCATGTGACTGCTGTTTTCACCCCACTCCTTCTGCCGTCTTGGTCCTACCATTCGGAGGAGCTACCTGTGCACCCTGCCTCTGGCTCTCCTGAGCAGAAAGGTAAGCTGCTTGTCTGTGCCTCAGGTGGAAATGGCCACTAGAGTCCACCTGCCCAGCATTGACTGCCTTTTCTCTCACCTGTTCCCCCTGGCTTTCTCCCTGGGCACTCTCACTTGCCCTTGTCTGTGCATTGGAGGCTGAGACTGAGCTGCAGGACTCGGACCTCAGGCCCATTTGGGGAGGAGGCTCCTGCTGGGTAGGTCTGGGTAGGGTACCAGGCTGAGTACGGAATGACTCTGTTCTGCCACAGATCCTGATGGCTGACTCAGAAGCACTCTCCTCCCTTGCTGGGGATCCTGTGGCTGTGGAAGCCTTGCTCCAGGCCGTGTTTGGGATTGTTGTGGATGAGGCCATTCAGAAAGGAACCAGTGCCTCCCAGAAGGTAAGTCCTTTCTCCTCCTCCTTCCCATCAAGACTTCTTGTTCTCTATCCAAATCTGGCTCAGAACTTTCCTCCTTTGATAAGCTTCTCCCCAGAATTCATCCCTGTTCCTCTGCGTACCTCGGGGATTTACATACTGGGTCTTAACTGTGTTCTCTACCCTTGTTCATTTTCACGGTTTTGCTTTAAAAACATCCTGAAGTTGTTAGTGCAGGTTGGCCGTGTCTCATGTCTGTGGAGGTGTGGTTTGACAGCCAGTTCACAGGCATCCCAGGCCCCCAGCATCCCCGGCTCTCCTCCTAGGTCTGTGAGTGGAAGGAGCCTGAGGAGCTGAAGCAGCTGCTGGATTTGGAGCTGCGGGGCCAGGGGGAGTCGCAGGAGCAGATCCTGGAGCGTTGCCGGGCTGTGATTCGCTACAGTGTCAAGACTGGTGGGTCCCGGCTTCTGTGAGGAGACTGGGGAGTTTGCCCTGAGCTCCACTCTGAGCTCCCTGCCCTGCTTCTCTTCTCCAGGTCACCCTCGGTTCTTCAACCAGCTCTTCTCAGGGTTGGATCCCCATGCTCTGGCTGGGCGCATTATCACCGAGAGCCTCAACACCAGCCAGTGAGCATCCCAAGGCCCCTCCACCAGCCCACAAAGGATTTAGGTTTGCTGGAGAGGTGCCTGAGGGTAGGGGAAGAGAATGCTCCCTCTCTACTGTTTCTGGGAATCCCTGTCAGCAGAGAGTTTTTCCTCATATCCTTTGGACCCCCTTTCTCCAAACTTCCTCGGGCCTCCTGATCCCTGTTTTTTCTTTCTTGCTTCCCTAGTTCTGTCACCAACTTGTTCTCTTTGGACTCTTCCTTTGCTCATTCTCATCACCTCCTTTCTGTGACTCCTGTGCAGTTTAAGGGCCCGTCTGGGCAGCCCCTCCCCATCTGTCCTTTCTCGTCGTTCTCTCTCCTGGCAGGTACACGTATGAAATCGCCCCCGTGTTTGTGCTCATGGAAGAGGAGGTGCTGAGGAAACTGCGGGCCCTGGTGGGCTGGAGCTCTGGGGATGGAATCTTCTGCCCTGGTTTGTGAGAAGGAGGGGGACCTTCCTTTGGCCTTTTTATGGTTTCTCCTCCCCAACTATTCTCTTGCTCTGGCAGGGAGGGATGATTCCTCTTTGATTCCTCTCCAGCTGGGCCTGGACCAGGCCAGGGAGGAGGCTGCCCGGTCCCTTCATGCTCATGTTTGTCACCCTTTCACTGGTCTAGTGCCTACTGTCTCTGGACAGAGGCTGTCTCTTGGGGGCAGCATTGGGTGTAGAGGGGTGTGGTCAAGAGGATCTGCTGATCCTGGGATGGCGTGATCCTGGGAACTGTGGGCTGGGAGCCAGTCATACCTGCTTCTTTGATGAGCTCTTCTGGTGGAAAGGGAAGGGGAGGCAAGCTCCAGTCTTGGTCCACTGCCCCTTTCCCTTGCCACCACCCCTCCCTGTGACAGGTGGCTCCATCTCCAACATGTATGCTGTAAATCTGGCCCGTTATCAGCGCTATCCGGATTGCAAGCAGAGGGGCCTCCGCACACTGCCACCCCTGGCCCTATTCACATCGAAGGAGGTGGGGAAGAGGCACAGGCCCAACCTTGGGCTCCTGATTCTAATCTCCAGCCAGCTAAGTAGAGACCTTCCAGGTCTTCTCCCTACCCTCCCCACATCCTCCAAGGCCAGCCTGCTCCCAGGCAGATGTGCTTCCTTCCAATCAAGGAGGCCAAGTGACTGCTCCTGCTCACATTGCCTTCAGTTTGAGGGCAGAGGAGGGGCCATGAGTGCAGTGGATGCAGCCCATACTCTATCTACTCAAGAGTGTGGTCTGTGGACCAGCAGCGTTGGTACCACCTAGGGCTTGTTAGAACTGCAGAATCTGGCCAGGTGCAATGACTTATGCCTGTAATCCCAGCACTTTGAGAGGCCAAGGTGGGTGGATTGCCTGAGCTCAGGAGTTGGAGATCACCCTGGGAAACATGGTGAAACCCTCTCACTAAAATACAAAAAAATTAGCTGGGTGTGGTGGTGGGTGCCTGTAGTCCTAGCTGCTTAGGAGGCTGAGGCACGGGAATTGCTTGAGCCTGGGAGGTGGAGGTTGCAGTGAGTCGAGATTGTGCCACTGCACTCCAGCCTGGGAGACAGAGGAAGACTCTGTCTCCAAAAAAAAAAAAAAAAAAAAAAGAATCTCAGGCCCCACCCCAGACCCCAGACCTAGCGGACTTGAATCTGCATTTTAACCAGACACCCAGATGATTCGTATGCACACTAACATTTGAGAAGCCTTGGTCTACAGGATCCCATCTGTTGCAGCTCATACTTGACTTTTACCTTTTCTCCCAACCCCCATCAAGTTGTGCTAACCTGCCCTCTTTTTTCCCCCGCAGTGTCACTACTCCATCCAGAAGGGAGCTGCGTTTCTGGGACTTGGCACTGACAGTGTCCGAGTGGTCAAGGCTGATGAGAGGTGAAGGTCCTTTGGCCCACATGACTGTGACCCACCTTGGCACAGTGTACTTTCCTGCTGCCAGAATGCCCTGGCATAAAGCCCTTACCGCTGGTGAACCTGTCTCCCCTCACTATTTGGTAGAATTGCTGTTCTGTCTCCCAGAGCCTGCCAGCATCTCCCACCTCTGCCACATCTGCCAGCATTTCCCACCTCTGCCACATCTGCCAGCATCTCCCACCTCTGCCCTGAGATCTGTTTCACCCCCCTGAGGGAAAGACCAGGACTGTCATCTCTGTATTGCTAACCTCATCTTACCCTGCCTTCAACAGAGAACCTGTCCCTGCCCTACCCTCTCCTTTTTTTTTTCAGAGGGAGAATGGTCCCCGAGGATCTGGAGAGGCAGATCAGTCTGGCCGAGGCTGAGGTGAGAGTGAGGGTCACTGGGGTGGTGGAGCCTCCAGCCTTCTTGGAGGGTTATTTGTGCTCTCCCTGCTCAAAACACCCTTCATCCCTCTCCTCATCTCCATTCCCATCTCCCCTGTAGGCTGAAGTGACTGTGGGGAGCTTGGAGGTGAGGTCACTGTGTTGCTTTCTGGGGCTCTGCCCAGACACCTAGGACTAGTTGGATTCTGAGAGGCAGGACTGAGTCAAGGAGCAAGTCCCAGGCAGCACCACAGGGAGGGTGCTGGGGGCCTGCAGTGTAGTGTAGAAGGTTCCTGTGGGCTGCAAGGGTCTGCGCAGGGAGAGGCTGAGGAGGGGAGTGGAACTGGTGAGGACTGTGGGTAGTGGGGATGAGGAGACACCAGCACTATCTTCCACTTTGAGGGGTATGTAACTGCTATAGCCACCTTGGAGGGCATTTTGGCACCATCTATACAATTTTATTTATTTTTATTTTTAAATATTTTTAAAACATTATTTAAATATTTCGTATATTTTTTATTAAAAAAATTTTTTTGAGACCAAGTCTCACTGTCATCCAGGCTGGAGTGCAGTGATGCGATCTTGGCTCACTGCAAACTACCCATCCTGGGCTCAAGCTGTCCTCCCACCTCAACCTCCCAAGTAGCTGGGATTACAGGCGCCAACCACCACACCCAGCTAACTTTTCTATTTTTTGGTAAAGATGGGGTTTCACCATGTTGCCCAGGCTCCTCTCAAACTCCTGGGCTCAATTGATTACTCGCCTTGTCCTCTCACGGTGCAGAGATTACAGGCATGAGCCGCCATGCCCAGCCGACAATTTTAGATATATCTTTCCGATTCAGAGTTCCACTGCTAATAATTTATGTTATAAATCATCATCACAAGTGTGTGGAATTCTGTACATGAGAATATTTCCTGGAACAGAGGGTAAATGTTTATGTTTAAATATAAATGTAAACTTTTTTTTCTTTTTTGAGACAGAGTCTTCCTCTGTCGCCCAGGCTGGAGTGCAATGGCACAGTCTCAGCTCACTGCAACTTCTGCCTCCTGGGGTTCAGCGATTCTTGTGCCTCAGCCTTCTGAGTACCTGAGATTACAGGTGTGCATCACCATGCCTGGCTAATTTTTGTATTTTTAGTAGAGACAGGGTTTCACCATGTTGGCCAGGCTGGTCTCGAACTCCTGACCAAAAACAGTCTACCCACCTTGCCTCCCAAAGTGCTGGGATTGCATGTGTGAGCCACCATGCCTGGCCATAAATGTTTTTAAAAAAACATTTAAATGACCATTAGTAGACAAAATAAATTACGGTATATCTGTGTGTCTCAGTTCCTTCCTCTGTAAAATGGATAGAATATAGAGCTTGACACATAAGGTTATTGTAAGGATTGAATGAATGAGTATATGTAAAGACTTAGAAGAGTGCCTTAGAATTTAGCTGCACTGTATAAATACAAGCTGCTGGTATTGCTGCTGCTGTTATTATTTATTTATTTATTTTTGAAATGGAGTCTCACTTGTTGCCAGGCCAGAGTGCAGTGGTGTGATCTTGGATCACCGAAATCTCCGCCTCTCAGGTTCAAGTGATTCTTCTGACTCAGCCTCCTGAGTAGCTGGGACTACAGGCATGCACCACCACACCCAGCTAATTTTTGTATTTTTAGTAGAGACGGGGTTTCGCCATGTTGACCAGTATAGTCTCGATCTCCTGACCTCATGATCTGCCATCGTCAGCCTCTCAAGGTGTTGAGATTACAGGCGTGAGCCACTGTGCCTGGCCCTTTGTTGTTACTATTATTATTATTATTAGAGTACTGGGTAACCATTTAAAAGAATAAGGTAAGAATATATATACTAACATGAAAGTATCTCCACTATATATATTAAATATATATTGCAAATTGTAGTATAGAGTGGACATTATGAGCACATTTTTGTTATTTAGAACAGTATAGGCTGGGCATGGTGGCTCATACCTGTAATCCCAGCACTTTGGGAAGCTGAGGAAGACAGATCATGAGGTCAGGAGTTCGAGACTAGCCTGGCCAATATGCTGAAACCCCGTCTCTACTATAAATACGAAAGTTAACCGGCGTGGTGGCGCATGCCTGTATTCCCAGCTTCTCAGGGGGCTGATGCAGGAGAATCACTTGAACCCAGGAGGTGGAGGTTGCAGTGTGCTGACATCGTGCCACTGCACTCTAGCCTGCATGATAAAGTGAGACTCCATTTCAAACAAAACAAAAAGAGAAAACAGCATATATTTATTGATACATGGATGTTAACTTCTGAGTAGCACTAAGGACAACAATTAGAATAGTGATGTTTCTCTTTTTATTTTATTTTATTTTTTTTATTTTTTGAGATGGAGTTTCGCTCTTGTTACCCAGGATAGAGTGCAATGGTGTCATCTCAGCTCACTGCAACCTCTGCCTCACAGGTTCAACCGATACTCCTGCCTCAGCCTCCTGAGTAGCTGGGATTACCGGCATGCGCCACCACGCCCAGCTAATTTTGTATTTTTAATGGAGACGGGGTTTCTCCATGTTGGTCAGGCTGGTCTTGAACTCCTGACCTCAGGAGATTTACCAGCCTCAGCCTCCCAAAGTGTTGGGATTACAGGCCTGAGCCACTGTGCCTGGCCTGTCTCTTTTTAATTATAGAAACTTTTTGATAATAGCTATTGATACATAATTCACATAACATGTAATTCACCTAACATATAATTTACCCACTTAAAGGGTACTATTTAGTGGTTTAGCATATTTGCAGAGTTGTGCAAACATCATCATAGTCAGTATTAGAACATTTTTATCACCCCCAAAAGAAACCCCATACCCTATAGCTGTTGCTCTCGAATTCTCCCAAAACTCCCAGTGCTAGGCAACCAGTCATCTACTTAGTGTCTCTATAGATTTGCCTGTTCTGAATTCTGGAATCATGCTATACATGCCTTTTGTGATGAGCTGCTTTTACATAGAATAATGTCTTCGAAGTTCATCCAAGCTGTAGCATATACCAGTACTTCATTTCTTTGTGTGGCCAAATAATATTCCGTTATATGGATATACCACATTTATTTATCCATTCATCAGCTGATGGACATCTGGGTTGTTTCCACTTGGGGCTATTACGAATAATGCTGCTATAAACATTTGTGTACAGGTTTTTGGGTGAAAATATGTTTTTATTTCTCTTGGTTATACACCTAGGAGTGGAATTGCTGGGTCATATGGTAACTCTGTATCTAACCTTTTTTTATTTATTTTTTAAATTTTTTATTATTTTTTTTAAAGACGGGGTTTCACCATGTTGGTCAGGCTGGTCTTGAAATCCTGACCTCAGGTGATCAGCCCGCCTTGGCCTCCAAAGTGCTTGGATTACAGGCGTGAGCCACCACGCCCGGCCCTGAATCTAACCTTTTGAGAAACTGCCAGGCTGTTTTCCAAAGTGGCTGCACCCGTTACAGTCCCACCAACAATGTAGGAGGGTTCCAGCTGCTCGACATTCTCACCAGCTCTTGTCATATCTTTTTTTGATTATACCACTTTTTGGGTGTGAAGTGGGATCTCATTGTGTTTTGATTTGATTTTCCCTGGTGACTAATGATGTTGAGCAACTTGTCATGTGCTTATGGGCCATTTGTATGTCTTCTTTGGAAAAATGTCTACTCAGATCTTTCACCCATTTTGTTTTTCATAGAACTTTTATTCCAGTAAGGAAGACTGACATTCACAAATATGTGTAAAAATCTGCATATGTGCTATGAAGGTGAGGTACATTGTGCTCTTTGAGCACAGAATACAGGATAATTGACCTAAACAGGAGGTGAAGGAGTCAGGGAAGGCTTCCTTCAGAAGGGATGGTTGAGCTGAGACTGGAAGGGAGAAAAGAAATGAACTAGGTGGCCGGGCGCGGTGGCTCACACCTGTAAACCCAGCACTTTGGGAGGCCGAGGCGGGTGGATCACGAGGTCAAGAGATCGAGACCATCCTGGTCAACATGGTGAAATCCCGTCTCTACTAAAAAAATCCAAAAAATTAGCTGGGCATGGTGGCGCGTGCCTGTAATCCCAGCTACTCAGGAGGCTGAGGCAGGAGAATTGCCTGAACCCAGGAGGCGGAGGTTGCGGTGAGCCGAGATTGCGCCATTGCACTCCAGCCTGGGTAACAAGAGCGAAACTCCGTCTGAAAAAAAAAAAAAAAAAAAAGAAATGAACTAGGTGGTGCCCCTTTGGGCAGACAAGAAGATTCTGTGTGTGTGCAGAGGCCATGGCATATTTCCGGAATTGAAGATAGGGAGCAGGAGCAGCTTCCCTCCTTTGCCTGGACTGTTTCCACTCCACCTGTAGCCTTCCTCATCCATGGGTATTTGCTTGGGGCTGGTGCTGCCGTCCACCCGAGTCTCCCAGTCATCAAGGGAGCATTTGGAAGCATGTGGAGCTGTTTTATTTTGTGGTGTTTTGTGACATTAGCCAGAGGGCATTACTACATTTATTGAGAGAGATACTAAACATTTCTGCAGTGTGCAGGAATAGCTCTACATGCCAGTAGGGTCTCTGTTGAGAATCTGCCAGTTCTACCTTTTGGTGTGTGTGTGTAACATAAAATTTATAATCTTAACCATTTTTGCATGTACAGTTCAGTTGTCTTAAATACATTCACATTTCTGAGAAACCAGTCTTCAGAAGTCTTTTCATCTTGTTTTTTTTGTTTTTGTTTTTTTGAGACAAAGTATCACTCTGTTCCCCAGGCTGGAGTAGAGTAGCACAATCTCAGTTTACTGCAGCCTTTGCCTCCTGGGTTCAAGCAATTCTTTCCCAGCCTCCTGAGTAGCTGGGATTACAGGCCCCCTGCCACCACCCCTGGCTAGTTTTTGTATTTTTAGTAGAGTTAGGGTTTTGCCACGTTGACCGGGCTGGTCTCAAACTCCTGGCCTCAAGTGATTCATCCACCTTGGTCTCTCAAAGTGCTGGGATTACAGGCATGAGCCACTGCACCCAGCAGAACTCTTTTCAATTTGTAAAACAAACTCTATATCCGTCGAACAACAACTCATTACCCCCTCCTCCAGCTTCTGGCAGCCACTGTTCTACTTTCTGTCTCCATGACTTTGACTGTTGTAAGTACTCATATAAGTGGAATCATATGGTATTTGTCTTTTTCTATTGGCTTATTTCACTTAGCGGAATGTCCTCAAAGTTCATCCGTGTTGTAACGTGAGAATTTTCTTCCTTTTTAAGGCTGAATAATATTTCATTGTACATACATGTTACATTTTACTTATCCATTCATCTCTTTGGGTTGCTGTTTGGAATCTCTTCGAGACCCTGCTTTCAATATTTTGGTTGTATACCCAGAAGTGGAATTGCTGAAGCCTAGGGTAATTCTATTGAATTTTTTTTGAGGAACTGCCATACTGTTGTCTATAGTGTCTGTACCAGTTTACATTCTCGTAGTGCACAAGGGTTCTGATTTCTTCATGTTCTTGTCAATGCTTTTTTTTTTTTTTTTTTTTTGAGACAGAGTTTCCCTCTTGTTACCCAGGCTGGAGTGCAATGGCGCGATCTCAGCTCACCTCAACCTCTGCCTTCTGGGTTCAGGCAATTCTCCTGCCTCAACCTCCTCAGTAGCTGGGATTACAGGCACGCGCCACCATGCCCAGCTAATTTTTTGAAGTTTTAGTAGAGACGGGGTTTCACCATGTTGACCAGGATGGTCTCGATCTCTTGACCTCGTGATCCACCTGCCTCGGCCTCCCAAAGTGCTGGGATTACAGGCATGAGCCACCGCGCCCGGCCGTCAATGCTTTTTTTTTTTGAGACAGGGTCTTGCTCCGTCATCCAGGCCGGAGTGCAGTGGCATGATCATGGTTCACTGCAGCCTTGACCTCCCAGACTTAAGTGATCCTCCCACCTCAGCCTCCCAAGTAGCTGAGACCACAGGTGCACACTGCCACACTTGGCCAATTTTAAACATTTTTTTTGGTAGAGACCCATCTCTACCAAAATCTCACACACTGTGTTGCCCAGGCTGGTCTCAAACTCCTAGGCTTCAAACCATCCTCCCACTTCAGCCTTTTAGAGTACTAGGATTACAGGCATGAGCCACCATATCAGGCCATTTTCTGTTATTTTAATAGGTGTTACCCTAATGGTTGTGAGGTGGTAACTCATCGTAGTTTTGATTTGCTTTTCCCTAATGATTAGTGATGCTGAGCATCTTTTCATGTGCTTATTAGTAATTTATACCTTTATTGAAAAATGTCTAGTCCAATCCTTTGCCCATTTAAAAAATTATGTTGTTTTTTTATTACTGAGTTATACGAGTTCTTCATATATTCTAAAGGTAAGTCCCTTATCAGATGTTTGATTTTCAGATATGTTCTTCCCATTCTATAGGTTGGCTTTTCACTTTTTTCAAACTTTTATTTTAGATTCAGTAAGTACATGTGCAGGTTTGTTATAAGGGTATATTTTGTGATTCTGAGGTTTGGGGCACCCAGGTAGTGAGCATAGTATGCAACACGTATGTTTTCAACCTTTGCTCCCCTCCCTCCCGCTTCTGATAATCCCCAGTGTCTGTTCCCGTCTTTCTGTCCATATGGACTCAGTATTTAGCTCCCATTTATGAGAACATGTGGTATTTGGTTTTCTGTTTCTGTGTTAACTCACTTAGGATACTGGCCTCAGCTGCATCCATGTTGCTACAAAGGACATTTCATTATGGCTGCATAATATTTCATGGTTTATATATGCCACATTTTAAAAAATTTAATCTGTTCGTGGGCACTTAGGTTGATTCCATGTCTTTGCTGTTGGACTTTGCACTTTTTTGATAGTGTCTTTTGAAGTATAAAAGTTTTAAATTGGCTGGGCACAGTGGCTCACACCTGTAATCCCAGTACTTTGGGAGGCTGAAGAGGGCGGATCACCTCAGGTTGGGAGTTTGAGACCAGCCTGACCAACAAGGAGAAACCCCATCATCTACTAAAAATACAAAATTAGCCAGGTATGGTGGCACATGCCTGTAATCCAAGCTACTCAGGAGGCTGAGGCAGGAGAATCTCTTGAACCTGGGAGGCGGAGGTTTCGGTGAGCCGAGATGGCGCCATTCCACTCCAGCCTGGGCAAACAGAGTGAAACTCCATCTCGAAAAAAAAAAGTTTTAAAATTTGAAGTCCAGTTTATCTAGTTTTTCTTTGGTTGCTTCTGTTTTTGGTGTTATATCTAAACTAACCCTCTGTTTAAAAGATTCACTCCACTGTTCTAAGAGTTTTACCGTTTTAGCTCTGACATTTAGGCCTATGATCCAATATGAGTTAATGCGAGGGTGTGATGTGGATATCCAGTTGTCCCAGCACCATTTGTTGAAAAGACAGTTTTTTCTCCAATAAGTTTTCTTGGCATTCTTGTAAATCACTTGACTGTAAACTGAAATCGGTTGACTTATTTCTGGGTTGTCAGTTTTGTCCCATTGATCTGCATGTCTCTCGTGTAGACCACATTGTCTTGATTCAGCTGTAGCTTTGTCGTATGTTTTGAAATCAGGAAGTGTGAGTCCTCCAACTGTGTTCTTTTTTCAAGATTGTTTTTAGCCAGTCTGGGTTCCTTGAATTTCCATATGAATTTAAGATCAGCTTGTCAGTTTCCGCAAAGAGGGCAACTGGGATTTTGTTAGGAATTGTGCTTATTCATCAACGTGAAACATCTTTCCATTTATTTAGGGTTTAATTTCTTTCCACGGTGTTTTATAGTTTTCAGAGTATATTCTTTTGTTAAATTGATTCTTAAGTATTTTATTCTTTTTGGCGTTTTTGTAAATGAAATTGTTTTCTTAATTTCATTTTTAGATTGTTGCTAATATGTATAGAGATAAAATTGATTTTTGTATATTCTGTCTTTTGGAAGAGTTTGATCTGTTATCAGTTTTTTCATTAAATGATGGACTTCATCAGTGAAGCCATCTGGGCCTGGGCTATTCTTTTCTTTTCTTTTTTTTTTAGACATGGGGTTTCACCATGTTGGCCAGGCTGGTCTCAGACTCCTGACTTCATGTGATCCACCCACCTCAGCCTCCCAAAGTGCTGGGATTACAGGCATGAGCCACCGCGCCTGGCCCAATTGAGACAGGGTCTTGCTCTGTTGCTGAGGCTGGAGTGCAGTGGCACAATCAGGGCTCACTGCAGCCTTGACCACCTGGGCTCAAGTGATCCTCCCATCTCAGACTCCCACTGTGGTAGGTGTTTTTTTTGTTTGTTTGTTTTTTTGTTTTTTTGAGACAGGGCCTCACTCCATTGCCCAGGCTGGAGAACTATAGTGCAATCACAGTTCACTGTGGCCTTGATCTCTCAGGCTCAAGTGATCCTCCTACCTCAGCCTCCCAGGTAGCTGGGACTATAGGAGTGCGTCACTATATACCTGTGGTTTTTTTTTTTTTTTTTTTAGAGAGAGGCGGTCTCGCTAGGTTGCCCAGGCTGCTCTCGAACTCTTGGGCTCAAGCAGTTCTCCTGCCTTGACCTCCCAAAGTGCTGGGATTACAGGCATGAACTACCACATCCAGCTTGTGGTAGTTTTTAAAATTACTTATTCAATTTCTGCATAAACTTTTGTACTATTCAAATTTATTTATTTATTTTTGAGACAGAATCTCACTCTTTTCGGCTGGAATACAATGGCGCGATCTTGGCTCAGTGCAACCTTTGCATCTTGGGTTTAGGCAATTCTGCTGCCTCAGCCTCAGCCTCCCAAGTAGCTGGGATTACAGACATGTGCCACCACACCCAGATAATTTTTGTATTTTTATTAGAGATTGGGTTTTGCTGTGTTGGCCAGGCTTGTCTCGAACTCCTGGCCTCAAGTGATCCGCCTGCCTTGGCCTCCCAAAGTGCTGGGATTACAGGCATTAACACTGCTTCTGGCCTGTTTATTTTTTGAGACAGTTTTGCTCTGTTGCCCAGGCTAGAATACAGTGGCACAGTCCTAGTTCATTGTAACCTCAAACTCCTGGGCACAAGCGATCCTCCCACCTCTGCCTCCTGAGTAGCTGGGACTACAGGCATGAGCCACCACACTTGGCTAATTTAAAAAAAAAAAATTTCTTTTAGAGATGGGGTCTTGCTTTGTCGCCCAGGATGGTCTTGAACTGTTGGCCTCTGCCAATCCTACTGCCTTGGGCTCCCAAAGTGCTGAAATTATAGGTGTGAGCCACTATGCCTGGCTCAAAATTTTTTCAGTAGCATTTGGATCTTCCAGTAAAACATTAAAAGTTTTTTTGAGAATATGAGCTTTGGAAATAAAAACCTAGGTTCAAAGACCTATGTTCAAAGTCCATCTGTGGAGCTTCTGCTTGGATCTTTGAACGTCAGTGTTTCTGCCTGCACATTAAAAATGACGGTAATACATCGTTGTGAGGTTGCAATGGGCTATTTTAGGCATGCAAACAGCTTAGAGCTGGGCCCAGCACCAGGCTCTGAGTAGCTTTTGAGATGACTTTACGTCTTTCTCCCTCTACATTTTGACAACAGGGTGCCGTGCCGTTCCTGGTCAGTGCCACCTCTGGCACCACTGTGCTAGGGGCCTTTGACCCCCTGGAGGCAATTGCTGATGTGTGCCAGCGTCATGGGCTATGGCTGCATGTGGATGTGAGTGGGACTTGGCTTGGCGGGTGCGGTGGGGTGGGCTGAGCCAAGGCCAAGGCCCACACTATTCCTCCTGCTCCACAGGCTGCCTGGGGTGGGAGCGTCCTGCTGTCACAGACACACAGGCATCTCCTGGATGGGATCCAGAGGTGCATATGATCCCCTTCTTCCGAAATCCCACCCTTCAAACCATTGATCCAGAGAATCATCATGGACTAGGCAGTTTAACATGGCTGGGGAAGGAGGCTGATGGGAGGGGGACTGGAGGGAGGATGGATTGGAGCTGGGAGGTCAGACATACCAATTCTTCCTGATGCTGGGTGAGGGTAAGGCCAAAGCCCCATTACTAGGGGTCTGGAAAAGGAGGAGGGGCTCTGGTTGGGGAGCTGGAGGAGGAGCCACTGACCTGCCTTTGCTCTACCCCATCCAGGGCTGACTCTGTGGCCTGGAATCCCCACAAGCTCCTCGCAGCAGGCCTGCAATGCTCTGCACTTCTCCTCCAGGACACCTCGGTGGGTCTGCCTCTGCCCCTGCACCGGCCCCACCTCTCTCTCTGGAGCGCTGCCTTCTCTATCCCACCTTAGATGAGGTCCAGGCCTTTCTTTATTTTCTTTACCCCATCCCTTCTGAAGCCGCATCTCTGCTACCACCCTTCGCTGTCTTAGGCTCCTTCACTCCCCCAGGGTCCTGTCTTCATGCAAAGGGAAAAGTTTCCAGCTTGAAGTTGAAGTCAGAGGTATCCTGGAGTTTCTAGCTTGAAGTTGCTGTCAGAGTTTGGGAAGAACACTGAGTATTGGGAGGACACCCAAAGAAAGGGATTGGAGCCAGCAGGCAGTGGTCCCAGCAGTGCTGCCTGGTTCCAGAGAAAGAACAGGGTGTCCTGAGCTAAGACCCCCTCAGTGCAGCCCTGGAAAAAAGCCTCAGTGGAGAGGGTAGGGTCTGACAGTCTCCTCACCCCGACACAGAACCTGCTCAAGCGCTGCCATGGGTCCCAGGCCAGCTACCTTTTCCAGCAGGACAAGTTCTACGATGTGGAACTGGACACTGGAGACAAGGTGGTGCAGTGTGGCCGCCGCGTGGACTGTCTGAAGCTGTGGCTCATGTGGAAGGCACAGGGCAGTCAAGGGCTGGAGCGGCGCATCGACCAGGCCTTTGCCCTTGCCGGGTAGGCGGGTAGAGGGTGTGTGGGGGTTGTCCCTGTTTCCCTCTCCTGGGTCCATGCCCCTCCCCCTTTCCTGCTCACAGGATTACTTTTCTCTGTCTCTCTGTGCCTCATTCTCCGTGGTCCTCTTCTGCCTCTGGATCTCTGTTTTTCCTCATGACCTGTGGTTTCTCACTGTCCGTTCACAGGTACCTGGTGGAGGAAATGAAGACGCGGGAAGGGTTTGAGTTAGTCATGGAGGTAGGACCCCTTCTCTTTTGTGGCCCCCTGCCCCAGCCCAGCTCTTTTGCATCCCCCAACCCCCAACCAAAGCACTGGTAGAGGAAAAAGGGCAGGGAGAGGGAAAACGGTCACCCTTCCTCAGCTCACAACTTCCTCTTTCTCATTCCTCTCAGCCTGAGTTTGTCAATGTGTGTTTCTGGTTCGTGCCCCCCAGCCTTCGAGGGAAGCAGGATAGTCCAGATTACCACAAAAGGCTGTCGAAGGTAGGGGTGCTCTGCTCTGCTTACTGGTTAGGGAGCTGATGCAGTTTATGCGCTTCTGCCCTCTGCTGGCTGGGAGCGGCATGGCAGGTGCCCTTGATGGTTTCTTGCTCTGAAGCGTGGACGCCCTCTTTTTCGGTGGGGGTGGGGATCGGGAAGAAGATATGTTTCTGGGAAATAAGAATAAGGGGTATTACAGGAGAAGTCAGAGAAGTCACCAGTGTGTAGTACACAGAGCCCGGTGCTGGGAATTGGGCTGAGACCTCCGGCTCAGGACAGATATGAGGCAGAAAGATCATGGAAGAGCCTTATCACCCATGCTGGGGACAGAGCAACCTGGGAAGGCCAGTCCAGAAACGCCACCTACAGGCGAGGAGTTGTGTCTGTGTCATACCCTGCTCCCTTAAGATAGGGTGCTGCCAGGTGCTACAGATGGAGTTGTTACTGTAAGACAGGAGTTACCTACTTGAAAACAAGGTGTTCAAGGCAATTTTGTAAATGACTTGCTAGATCACAGGGCACAGATTAATATTATCAAAAATATTACAGGATTTAAGAGTGGGGAGAAGAAGGTGTTGACTAAGCCTTAGATGACCAAGGCTTGAAGTTAGACTAAAGCAGTGTTAGGAATCAAGAGAAAGTCTAGATTTGCCAGAAAATGGCCCACATGACGCATTTCTTGGAGAAAGGAGAAATGGGGAGGAAAGCAGAAGATAGAGAAGGCCAAGCAGTTTAGATATGACAGAAAAGATAAACTGGGGCCAAGGTCAAGGTTGCTACCTCCAGAAGGTGGCCAGGTGGGAGGGAGAAGTGCCTCTGGAAGCCTGGCAGGCCAAGAAGCCAGCCTACCTGTCAGCCAACCCCTGCAGCTGGAATCTCTCTCTACCCTCCTGCAGGTGGCCCCTGTGCTCAAGGAGCGCATGGTGAAGGCGGGCTCCATGATGATTGGCTACCAGCCCCATGGCACCCGGGGCAACTTCTTCCGTGTGGTTGTGGCCAACCCTGCGCTGACCTGTGCTGATATAGACTTCCTCCTCAACGAGCTGGAGCGGCTAGGCCAGGACCTGTGAGCCTTCTCCTCCTCACAGCTGGCCTTGACATCACCCCTCAGAATCACTGCATTCCCTCCCTGTGCTCTCAAGAACAGCCTTAGAGGCCAGGCGTAGTGGCTTATGCCTGTAATCCCAGCACTTTGGGAGGCCGAGGCAGGTGAATCATTTGAGGTCAGGAGTTTGAGACCAGCCTGGCCAACATAGTGAAACCCCATCACTACTAAAAATACAAAAATTAGCTGGGTGTGGTGGCATGTGCCTGTAATCCTAGCTACTCAGGAGGCTGAAGCAGGAGACTTGCTTGCGCTCAGGAGGCAGAGGTTGCAGTGAGCCGAGATCATACCCCTGTACTCCATCCTGGGCAGCAGAATGAAATTCCATCTCAAAATAAAATAAAATGAAATAATAAAATCAAATCAAATATAAAATATAGTAAAGTAAAATAAAAAAAAATAAAATAATTAAAAACAGCCTTTCTAGGCCACAGTGACCTCCTGTACAATGTTTATATGCTTTGACCTACTAACTCTTCCTCCTAACTAAATATTTGATATTAGGAGAATGTTTAAATAAATTACAGCATATCTATATGATGGAATGTTATTGTGCCATTAAAATTATGTTTACAAAGATAATTTTTATTAACATAAAAATAACTTTATGTTGAAAAAGCTGGATACGAGACTTTATGTACAGTCACATCTGAGCTGTGTTAAAAATACATAGGAAAAGACTGATAAAATGACGTGGCAAAATGTTAGCAGTTTTCCCTGGAATAGGATAATAGGCAATTTTAAAACAGACTGCTTTAGAAAAATAAAAATAAAAAAAAAAATAGACTCCTTTACATCTTTTGATCTCCCTTCCTTTTACTATGTAATGAACATGCATTACATTTGTAATAGGAAAATAATAAAATTCCAAATGCCTTCTTTTGGTATGTTTTTGAAATTTATTAACATTCAACCCACTGAGCGCAGTGGCTCACACCTGTAATCCCAGCACTTTGGAAGGCCAAGGCAGGCGGATCACCTGAGGTCAGGAGTTCAAGACCAGCCTGGCCAACATGGTGAAACCCTGTCTCTACTAATAATACAAAAATTAGCCAGGCATGATGGTGGGTGTCTGTAATCCCAGCTACTTGGGAGGCTGAGGTGGGAGAATTGCTTGATCCCAGGAGGCAGAGGTGACTGTGAACTAAGATCACGCCATTGTACTCCAGCCTCGTTGACAGAGTGAGACTCCGTCTCAAAAAACCAAACAAAACATTCAACAAAATAATGGCGAACTTAGAAGAAAAAAAAAGATGTGGCCGGGTGTGGTGGCTCATGCTTATAATCCCAGCACTTTGTGAAGCCGAGGTGGGAGAATCACTTGAGCCTGGGAGTTCAAGACCAGCCTGCACAATATAGCAAGAGCCCATCTCTAAAAAAATTTTTTAAAAAGCATTAGCCAGACATAATGGTGCACAGCTGTGGTCTCAGCTGTTTCGGTGGCTGAGGTGGGAAGACTGGGCCCAGGAGGTTGAGGCTGCAGTGAACTGTGATTGCATCACTGCATTTCAGCCTGAGTAATAGAGTGAGAATTTGTCTCAAAAAAGTAAATTAAAAGGCAGTGTAAGAGAGGAACAACTTTTTTTCCCCAAAAACCTTTAATAGGAGAAAAAAAATTGAGACAGGGTCTTGCTATAATCAATATAGTCACCCTATAATCAATTTTACTTTGGTGACACTGAAACAAAATGGGCACTGATTGTATCTTGAGACCAGAGCCTTAAGTAATTATCAATCTTGAAAAATCTTAACATACACACAAAGACTTTTCTTCTTCAATTTAAACAATAGAAAAGTGAACGATAATGACAACGAACCGTATGTCCTGTCTTACATAAAAGCATCCATCCATGTAACATTTAAAATCCTAGCTGGTATTGCTTCTCAGTCCCTTTCTGGGAAAGAGACAGCTACACAAGTTATTAAGGACAAGTGGAAAGTCTACCAGAACTTTTTGTTATTTCCAATTCCAAAAAGTATCATTTATGGAAATAGTAACGTGGCCATGTAAAAGTCATCCAAAGTTATTTGAAGAGTTAAATACAGACTGTACAAACCATAGCAAAAGAACATCCAAATCTCTGACACAATGATTTTGACTATTTAGAGAAAAAAAGCATTTCATAAATTACTAGTAATTCTCCTATAATATTGTTATTCTTGTTATGAATGGTATTTTAATTCCCTTAATAATAGAATTTTTGAGACCATCAATGTATACTCTTAAAGGATTCTGTGTAGCTGCAAAATGTCTCAACTAGAGTTAAAAAAAAGAGGTTAATGGTTGCCAGGGGCTGGAGGTAGGGTGATACAGGGAATGATACTAATGGGTACAGGGCTTCTTTTGGGGATGGTGAAAGTGTTCTAAAATGGATTGTGATGATGGTTGTACAACTCTGAATACACTAAAAATTATTGAATTTTAAACAAGTGCATGAATTATGTGGTGTATGAATTATATCTCAATAAAGCTATTTAAAAGAAAAAAAAAAGTCTGCTTTTCAACTCAAAGCCAGAAAGCAAAAACAAAAATAAAATCTTCAGATTCCTTAAATCATCTCCATTTGAGAAATATTTTAAAGAGAGGCCAGAAGAACAGAACATAAAATCAGTTAATCACCTGGGGTTTTTTTTTTTTTCAGCTTCATAAAACATACTTCTTTTCCTCCTTTCCCAAAATTCAGCCTCAAAATCTCTGGATTCAGTAATGGTATGCTCTATATTTTAGTTATTTGTTTTTAAAGCTTCTGTCTTACCCAACTGGAATGTAAGCTCTGAGAGCAGAGAGCTTACATTTTGCTACCTCCCAAAATACTGTCTGGTATTACAAGGTGGGTACTATTGTTGAGTGAATAGTTAATGAGCTCCAGGCACTAGTTGGCTTGCTGTCAGTCACACAGCCTTTTTTTTTTTTCTTGATGGAGTCTCGCTCTGTTGCCAGGCTGGCGTGCAATGGCGCGATCTCAGCTCACTGCAACCTCCGCCTCTCGCGTTCAAGTGATTCTCCTGCCTCAGCCTCCCAAGTAGCTGGGACTACAGACGCGCACCACCACGTCCAGCTAATTTTTCTATTTTTAGTGGAGACAGGGTTTCACCATGTTGGTCAGGATGTCTCGAACTCTTGCCCTCGTGATCTGCCCGCCTTGGCCTCCCAAAGTGCTGGGATTACAGGCGTGAGCCAGTGTGCTCGACCCCAATCACAGAACTTTTTTAAAAATAAAATAAATAAAATAGAGACAGGGTCTTGCTATGTTGCTCAGGCTGGTCTCAAACTCTTGGGCTCAAAGCAACCCTCCAACCTCAACCCTCCAAAGGGCAGGGATTCCAGGCATGAGCTGCTGCACCCAGCCAGTCACACAACTTCTAAGTCACCACTCAGACCATCTTATCTGGCTCTTAACCATGGATCTGACCAGCTTCTGTTGACAGGTATATCTAATTCATAGGTGTGTGTATGTTAGGGCCGTACACCCTAATAGCCTTTTTTTAAAGTTTCTTTCTTCTTCCTTTTTTTTTTTTTTTTATTTCCTGATGGCCTTATAGCCTAACCTTAGTAGCATAAATTATTAACCCTATGCTGTGGATCTACTACTTGCAGAAAGGTTGAGGCCATTCCCAGTTTCGTCACCCATCTTGCCCTTGGCCTGGGGAAATGATATTTTCCTCAATAGGAAAATAAAGGCGTTGGAATTGCCTGAGTGGGTTGCAATATGGGTTTTCTGTTGTCGTTTGGTTTTGGTTTTGGAAAGAGCAAAGGAATCAAAGCATCCTAGACTCTAGGACCTAGGGACTAGCCTCCCCTTGGCTGGGGAAGGAAGATGGTGCCCTTCACAGGGAGGAAGGCCAGGGCCTGGGAAGGTAAGAAGCTGGATGGCGTACCTATGATGTGGCGGCTCTCTGAGGTTGAGAGTAGGAACCCTTTAAAAAAAAGCAGATAAAAAAGAACAAGCTACAGTCAGAATTTGACTGGACACTTGAAACTGTCTTTATACGCCCTAGCCCTCATTTGGCTGTTTTTCTTGTTTATATGCCTTTTAAAAACCTTTTTATAGCATCCTTCAATAGCTTAGCTGGTACAGCAGAGGACTATAGTCAAAACCTTTTTATTTTGAAATAATTTCAAACTTATAGAAAAGTTGGATTCTTGTAATTATTCTTAGTTACAGAGACCTCTCTTTACCCAGATTTATCCATTTCTCACATTTTGACAAATTTGCTTTGTCATTCTCTCTCTAAATGGATTAGACTCATTTTTTGGAATCAGTTGAGAATCAGTGCATATATTACGACCCTTTATCTCTTCATTACTATAATGCATATTTCTCAACAACAAGAATATTCTCTTAAATAATCATGGTGCAGGCTAGGCAAGGTGGCTCACACCTGCAATCCCAGCGCTTTGAGAGACTGAGGTGGGAGTATCTGTGGATGCCAGGAATTCAAAATCAGCCTGGACAACACAGTAAGATCCTGTTTCTAAAAAAAAAAATAAAAAATAAATTAGCCAAGCATGGTGGCATGTTCCTATAGTCCCAGCTACTTGGGAGGCTGAGGTGGGAGGATTGTTTGAGGCCTACGAGTTTGAAGCTGCAGTGAGCTATGATTGAACCACTGCATTCTATCCTGGGCAACAGAGCAAGACCCTGTCTCTAAGATAAATATATATGTATATCATGGTACTGTGGGAAGCAGAAAAGTTTCTTTTTAAAGTTTTCTTTCTTGTTAAAGAATAAATGTGCTAATAACTTTGTTAAGCCCTATCCTATGTAGCTGTTAGACATGCCATGGTTACAGGCACGTAGTACCTTCTATGTCCTTGTACTTTAACCAAGATATCTGTGCTGGACGTGCTCACAGGCATGTCCCAGCTCTCCATTGCTTTTACCTGTTTAGAAAAGTTTTAAGTTGTTGTTAGTCAATTGGGTTTTAGTTTAGATTGTGAGGTCTGGCTCCAGCCAACGGAGATCAGACTCAGCAGTAAGGACAAACCCAAATGCATAAGGTATAAATTTGTCTTCCTTTATACACTGTACTCTTGTGGCAAGATAGCTGTCAAGAGTTCCCTTCCTGCAGTCCAGGAAGTAAAGATTTCATTGCTGAAAGA